CCGGACGTCTACCGATCTGATGGTTTAGAGCAGACGAAGTGCCCTTCCTCACGGCACGCAAACCGCCGCGAACAGGACCGGGACCGGGACCAGCCGGCCCGTCCCCGGACAACAGCAGCCTACCGGCCCGACAGCAGCTGCCCCGTCTCAGAGCAGGCGGAACTGGGACAAGCGCCCCCGTCTTCCCAGCCCGGAGGGAGAGAAACCACACCGGCGCGAAACGACAGCTTTACCGTCATGTCTGGCGGGTTATGTCTGCTTTTCTCTCGCAAGGCACGAACAAGCTCCTTTCTTTTGCCGCCACGGGCGCTCGCTCGCTCTCTCTCCACGGGGGTAGCGCCGTCTCCGCTGCGTCACCTTTGACCTCCCCGCCCGCCCGCCGGAGCACCCTGGGAGTTGTAGTCGGCCTAGCGCTCCGCCTGGATTGTGGGAAACCGAGTTCTCTCCCGCGCAGCTTGCGCTATAGACCTTGCAGCAAGACGAAGTGAAAACACATCGTACCGCAGACGTTCGCTTGTACGTTTTGGATTAATAAGCATAATTGTATTACACGGTTCTCCGATTATCCGCCTTGCATTTTCCTGCAGCTGCGAGTCGCACTGAATGACTGTTTGACCAACATTTACTTATTTGACCATTAAATGACGGACCTACCGTACCGTTGCGTTCTGTTCTGATAAAAGAAATTTAAGAAAAAAATGAATGGCTCTACGCACACGTGGCAGCTGGACGCGTCTGTTTTACGTGGACGTGTGAGCTTGAATTCGAGTTTCTGAGTAGTTTCTCCGGTTAAATCGGACTATTAACAACGCAGGGGCTAACAACGCCAACGTCTGCGCCCGGTTGTCAAACGGTGTGGACCTCACATGGCGCGTAACGGCACCCCATCGTAAAACGGGCGAAGGAGATTTCCAATTGAAGTGGTCCTCTCCTCAATCTAAACACGTCAGTCGAAGGGCGAGGGCAAGGAGTCTTTTCCAGGTCCCAGTCGCGCTCTGCTGCCCTAGCGAGACCAGGGCCCGCCGTGCATGATAGGAAATATGCAAATGAGTTGCCGTGACAACCCTCTCCGGAGCGACAGGTGGACGGGAGAGCGACTGACCGCTGCACTAGCCAGAAACCCAGGGCCAGAAACCACAAGGCAGGCAGGCGCTGGAGCAAGGACCTCCCAGTGTCCAGGTGGACTTGACCCCTCATGGCCTCCTGATAACCCCCCTCTCTGAACTGGCTCCATCACTCTGCTCTCCTCCCCGCTGAGAGCTGGGGTGTGGGGAGCGGACTGGCGCCTCATCCAGGTGGGGGGACACACTGCTGGGGGTGGAGGGGATCACCGTGACCTGTGACCTACGGACTGGGGCATCATCCAGGTGGGGGTGCACACAGGTGCTGGGGGTGGGGGGGATCCCCACGACCTGTGACCTGCGGACTGGCCCTTCATCCAGGTGGGGGTGCACACAGGTGCTGGTGGGGGGGATCCCCACGACCTGTCCAGAGCTCCGACTGGGGGCTCCAGGACAGAGCTATAGCAGTGTGAGGATTATTAGTACAGAGAACGGGTTTGATTGAAGTACAGGGGGATCCTCAAGGGATCTAGACCCAAGGGGAACCCCAGCCCACAAGCCCGTGAGGTCTCAGCTCCCGCCAGAGGCGCCCCAACAATCCCGGAACGCTTGCATCTTCGCAGGCCGGGGATCCGGGAAAAGCTGGACGTCCACCTCGGCTGCGGATAACATCATCGCCCCGCCCCCACATGAACAGGCCTCACACCAGGAGCTTTTCCTCATGACATTTTTATTAATATCACATTGACGTCAGTACAGGAACCAGGAAGGCCTTCCTCGCCCCGGCTTCCGCAGATCCGCAGAGAGAGCTACAGCCCGGGCCTAACGCCCGGCTCGAGGGTTAGTCTCGCACACAGGAGCCAGCAGGAAGGACCCAACTGGGAAAAGACAAGTCCGGCCCGGGGTGCCACACAGACGAACCTCCCCTCCCTCCCGTCGAGAAGAGAAAAAACAACAACGGAACATCTCAAAACGAAGCCACAGGCGGCCGGAAGCCGGAAGAGAAAGCGCTCAGCGGGCGGGCGGAATAGAGGCAGCAGTTCTGGCGCGGCGCGGCCCTGGAGACGGAGGGCGCAGCTTCTGTTGCTACGGTAATGGACGACGGCCCCCCTCCATCCGCGCCTGGGATAGAAGGCCAAACACCCTGGTGAGTTCCGCCCCGCAGTGGCCCCCTGCTGGGGCGCCGAGGGCTCTCTCCCCCCCAAGGGGGGGGGCCACGGGTTCGAGACCTACAGTAGAGTCGCACGCGTGTGCAGCCAAGGGGACCGGAGCGAAGGGGCCCCTCGTTGCAGAAAGCAAGACAGCAGTTTTCCCTCCCCCCCCCACCAAGCGAAGCCGGAGCGCCTGCATACTCCCGAAGGCGTGTGTGTGTGTGTGTGT